AAGGGCGGATGGGGGTGGGGTGGGGGGAGAATAAACGAACGCGCGTATGTTTTCATCAATCAGAGAAACTGATTGTCCAGAACCACAACTGTCCTGTTTGGCTCCGGTCTCGTTCGCCTCGATCAAACTGTCAAACCGCAAGTCATGTCTCGAGGGCGGGGGGAGAGGGGAGGGATTGCCGATGTTTTTCGTTCCATAGCTTTTGGCAACAGCAATTATCTGCGTGATTAGGATGAATCAAAGTGATTCGTGAACATGTATCTCTGCACTGACATTGTTTTGGAATTTCTCAGATAACTGTGACAAATGTGCAAAGCTCTACTGTTTATCTCTTAATCTTCTTCAAAATAATTCATACAAAGCAAAACTAGGAAATTTAAAGTGTCAGGCTTTGTTGGATTAGTCCAGTCGCTTGATTTAAGGGACCAGCCATTCTTGATGGTCTTTTTGAATGCATTTGAACAATCTCCCAAGGAGTGCAACCCACATCCAAGACCATCAAGATTGTCTGGTGCCTCTGAACAATCGAATGGGTTAATCCAAGCTTGATACTATAAATTGATTGAGCCATTCGCACAAGGTGATGACCGTAGCTGAAGGGTAAGTGTTTGAAATTCCAACCAACCTGAATGTTCTCTGTTCGAGCCCATGACAGGGACACAAAAAGTACGCACTGCTGATAAACCCCAAACATCAAGGAGTAAAACATCGGTTGGAAACGATCCAAGCCATAGACTGTGTGATACAAGGCAGCAAATGAATGGGTTCATTCAATAACACAATGAAGATCATGATTTACTTTCGTCAGAAAGCTTGGGCATGACAAATCAACTTTGCAACGTAGTCCATTCACACTGTCCTGCGTTAGTGTCACGCAACCACATGCGTTCTCTTTTTTCCCAGTGACAAGTGATTATAGTTTTAGGCACCTGAGAGCAATTAGTTTTGTTTTCCTGTTTTCATTTATATCCCATACTTTCCACTTCAACTTCTTGTTGAATACAAAATGACCCTAACAAGTTCCATGAATTGACAGTCACCAATCACAGAACTGATGTATTTAGGAAGAAGTGGGATGCCTGCGGCTCAAACACAACCACACACGGTGTCCAGAGCGAAGTGTTGAAGTCGGCAACTGCGGAATCATTCCCATTAAGATTGTTATCACACTCTCGTATTGCAGAACCCGACCAACCTCATCATCGATCGAAACTTCAATGACATACGCGAGTATGCGTGTCAAGTGACTGCCAAAAGGTTCGTCGTAGAACTTCGGGTTAAATTTAAATTTGAACTACAATCAATTCATGAGGTTGAAACGAATGACTGTTGACTGTTATGCTACCTACGAAGCATAACAACCGAATACATTAGATCGATGAATTCACGAAAAGAAAAGTTTTTACATCCCGGCGTTCATTGATTCATTACGAAAGGAGGAACGTTTTACTCTGGAAAAGTCGGTTATCCTAGTGTGCTGTTCGAACGAAATGTTCTTAAGTTTTCTTTTATTTGCGTCCGTGTTTTGCAAATCATGTTGAACAAAGCCCACGCTCAGGAACAGTTGATGGGATTTGGACATGTGACCCAAAGAACAAGGCTCCACTGGACCAGAAACAGCTCGAACTCCTAGGGTGCTCTCTAGTATCGACTGTTTACCGGTAGTCTTACTTTGTAATTCACCAGAATAATTAGATGGCTAAGCTTTGAAAATTGTTCATGTAACATTACATATCCATATATAACTCCATACAAAAGCATCTGGTTATTATTAAACAAGAGCTCTGAAAACATTGTCCTTTCTTCTGCCGTTTTATTGAGGGCATCATTGGTACAAAAAGAATTGATATACTGCTTGTCACGTGTCATACATAATGTGACATGAAAATTAACACACTAATTCGAAGTTTTGAGGACCAAACAACGTGTTTCTTGCCTATAACCGTTCGTAAATATTTTCCAACTCGTCTTGACATTATGCTTCTCGTGGTTCCTCGCGAACGCCCGGGGATCGTTCCAGCAGTTAATTCCATTGGAATTCACCGATTGTGGTTGAAAGCAGTACGATCGTGTGTCGGTCTCGGAAATAGATGGCGATTCGTATCATTTGTTCCGTCCTCACGCAGGCTGATAGCCGGACCTGAAGCGGATTCAGGTCAACCGAATATCACTCAATCAAAGTTGCCTATTGTCCATTGTTGTTGTTGTTGTTGTTGTTTACTGAATAGCCACCATCCACAACCCAACTAGCTACTGATAATTAGGGTCGTCAAATAATCGAAGGTCGATACAGAAAAAGAAAGATTTAACTTATGACCAAGTTGGACGGATTCAACAGTGGTGGAGTCCATGGAAACCGGCATAGAAACATGAAAAAACGGTACATTTCTCAATCAAGGAGATAGCAGAGAAGAAAGATCTTGAAGAAAGAGTATGCTTGAATTTTGATGCAAATTACAAAGTCTAGTCTATTGGTGGGATTGGAGTCCGAACGGCACATCGCATCCGATTGCGGGAGAATCATCGAGAGAATCACAATTATACTTTGCACCGCCTGAGATTAAAACTAATAATTCACCTTCAGACAAAATAAACTCTAACACAATGTCCTGGTTTGGTCATATCGCAATGTTTATCTGATCGAGAAGAAACTTCCCTGACTCTTCCGTGCACTGGACCAATAACTATCATATCCTCTCAAGCCAATCAGTGGTAATCGATAGATCGATCGAAAACCGGTAGATTCCTTTGGTCTGATCACGTGATCCGTCTGGGTCGTGTTGAGGATACTGCTGTACGGATGATCAGCAATCGGGTGAGGTACAACGCGTATCGTGATTTGGCACGAGTAAACACTGCATAGACCAATCAATATGTTGACAGTACGTTCTAGCTCGTCAGATAAATTATCATTATTATTATTATCAATAATAGCAAAAAGCTGTTCACTCACTTTCGGTTAAGGAGGAAATGACCCATAAATATACTGCCAGAAAACTTAGGGAAGTATAAAAGTATGCTAGAGGCGTAGGAATTCGAACA